GCTCCTCACAGGATGACTCTCTAATAACACCCAGTATTACTGCATGAACATCTTTGCTCAATATCAGGTCCCCAGACTAAGCCTGGATGAGACTCAGGGTGCAAAGTCTGGCTTTAATCCAGGATGTTCAAAAAAAAACAAACATCCCTGCCCTCCATCTTTAGGGATGTGTTTATTTTTCCAAAGCTGAGAAATCCAACAAACCCATATGATTTGCTGATGAAAATACAGGAAGGGTTGGTGGGTCTTCACCAAGACCAAATATTTATTGTCACTGGAATAACACCCAGGAGGTGGTAGAACGTTTTGGTGGAAGGAGTCCCTGCTCATGGCAGGTGGGTGGAGCAAGATKATTTTTAAGGTCACTTCCAACCCAAACYCTGCTGGGATTCTGGTTCAAGAYCCCCTATCACCATTAGTGAAGATGAACCCATTCCAGGAGAAGCTGTCCTGAATGTTCAAAAGAAATCTCAAACTGCACAAAGAGCAAATTAGATGAGCAGGGCAGTGGTGGAAAATAAACATCTAACATGAAATTTTGGATGGAAATATGAAAAGTAGGAATACAAGGAACCTTGAGAGATTGTGTGATCCATCTGCCCCCCTGAAGGACAACAGCTCACCCAAACCAACCCAGAACAGTGCTCTGTAAATATGGTCTAACCTTCCTGGATGGCACTTCCATAAAATCCTCATGCCTAAAAGGTGCCCTGGAATTTCATATCCTCTGGAATTTCAATTAKTTTGTTGCTGGTTATTCTGTTGTGTTCTCTCACAGAAGGTGCCTCCACGTGGGTTTGGTGCTGTTGAAGCGCCAGAGGGAGGCTGGAGTTGCACCAAAAACTGGAACTAGTCAGGCAGAATATGAAGGTGCATTCACATGGGATACATGGATTAAAGGCCAGATCTTTCAGAGAAGATCAGATCTATGTCCCCAAAATTATATGACAGCAACATTCACACCCAACAAAACTGCTGTTTCCTGAAAGGTTCATTAATGGAAGCAGCGAATAACTGCACARACCAGACCACTTCCTTCATCTTTCAAGACRARTAATTGATAASTTCATTTTTCAGYTTTGCCCTCACTTTGTGGTAGTTTMATTTAGATCATTCTCTGCTTTCTCGTTTCCRAAGATGTTGTGTGAGATGAGTSCCAGGCGTGATTACAGTCGGGGCCGATTTAATTCCCCGTTGTGCCCTGGCAGCCGGACGTGCTGCCCCGGCTGGAGGACAAATTACAGCACTTTGTCACAATTTGTTCCTGAGAAATTCACAGTGGCTGCTGCCACGTGTGCTCCATAGGGATCGGGCTTCTCTGTTTCACTGTTTTTCAGGAATTGAATGTTAATYCAAGTGGTTCTTTCCTTTTCCACATCTCCTATGGCAGGCTCTGGGGTTGCCTCACTCGGTGCTCCTTTTCATTCCCATTTATCTTCTGCTCCTCCTCCAAGATCTCTGCCAGCAGCCCTTGGGCCGCTCCTGCCCCTCAGTAAGTGCTCCCAGGGGAATTTTCACCCTGCCCTTACCCTGCTCTKCTAATTTAAAACCATCTATTATTTTAAGTTTGTTTTTTTTCCCTATTCCCCCTGATATCTTACTTTGCTGCTGCTGTGAGCCTACTTCAGGAAAAATAATTTATGACAAAAAAMCAAGTAACTGCCATGTCACACCATCCATCACTCCATGTGCTTCCCCAGCATTTGAATAACAAAGCAGCCTCTACATCAATCTGCCCCTCACTGAATGCAAATCAGTTCTTGCCTTTCCATCCTTCTCTTCTGCTTTCCATGCTTGTGCCATTTCCTTCTGAAAACCATCACTCCGGTTTTTCTCTCATGCCAGGGATCACCACAAAGTTGGCAATTTATGCCTGATGCCCCCAAGTGCCCTTCTTGCCTAGTCATTGCACTGGTGAGGTTTGGGAAAAAAACCTTGCTGTTTTGATTTCATCTATAATGAACCTCATGGGTTCCTGAAATGTGAMCGCCTGGGCATCATCCCTGTGAGACGTGAGAATCATGGAATGTTTGGGTTGGAAGGACCTTACAGCCTGGGGTGTTTTATTTGCTTTTGTTTGTCTGGATTTTGTAGCTGAAAGCTCTGAACCTCAGCAAGGTGGGCTTGGGAACACTGAGGTAGAGCTGTCTCCTTGTCACATCCCTGGCAGTGTCCAAGGCCAGGCTGGACACTGGGGCTGGGAGCAGCCTGGGACAGTGAGAGGTGTCCCTGCCATGGCAGGAGAGAGGAGTGAGATGAGCTCTGACATCTCTTCCAATCTAAACCATTTATGGTTTTATGACCTTTCCTACCCCCCAGGCCAATTCCTACATTTACACATCCCACACCCAGCCACCTCCCTCCCTCGCTCCCTCCCTCGCTCCCTCCCTCCCTCCCTCCTTCCCCAGGACCCTTCCCCCTTCTCGAAGCTATTTCACATCAGTGCAGCAAGGCTGATGGAGAGCAAGGCTTTATTATCAAACCCACCCTTCAGGGAGTCACATCAGCCCAAAGGACCAGACACCAGAGCTCAGCCAAGCCAGCACACAGCCACGGGGTGGGAACAGATGTGCAGGAGCTCCCACATCAGAGCAGAGATTGTATCACCCTCCCCWTAACGGCAAGACAATCCCTGTCCTGGGCAGCAGCCACAAGAGGTCCCAGAGCACAACTTGTGCTGAGCACCAAGACAGACACTGGAGTGGGGCCAGCTCCTCCCGTGGGTCAGCTGGAGCAGTCCAGGCCATGCCCCATCACAGGGCCACTGCAGGGACACCCATCCTTGGGACCCCACAGCCCCCAGCCACCTCAGAGAGCAGTGTGAGGGCCAGGGGCAGCAGGAGCAGGACAGAGCAGAACAGAGCACACACAGCTTGGTCACTCTCAGGAGCCACGTTGTCCCCCTGGGTAGGGGAGGATCTCTTTTTCCAAGCATAATATTTTGCCACAGCCACGTTGGGGTTCCCGTGGGCAGGGTCAAACCACATCTGGATGCAGCGCCCGCTGCCCCGCTGCTCRGGGCTGTATTTGTAGGAGTTGGACCAGATCTTCTCGCACAGGTCCTTAGGTCGGGGGAAAACCTCGCTGAAGGGTCTGCACATGGAGCCCCAGGGACAGCGGTTGGTTCCTGGGGACAGAGCACCACAAACAAACCTCAGAGTGAGCCCTGGGACAGCCCTGCCCGCTGTCCTCCCACCTGGCAGGAGCGGGTGTCCTGCCCACGGCCCATCCAAAGCTGTGTGGGGCTGGGGGCTTGGCCAACTGCTCAGCAGCCCCGAGAAATGAGAGAGATTTGGGGTCCTGGCAGCGGTGACACTGCCAGTGACCTGCCCAGGGTGAGGAAAGGCTCCCCAGAGCCCACTGACCTGTCGCCCAGTTCCAGCCCTTGTGCCAGTTCTCTTTGCACGTGAGGGAGTCCTTGCAGTCCTTCCACCACTCCTCGCAGTCCTCCTTGCAGAGGGGCACGTGGAGAATCCTCTCCCGACGCCAGCTGCTGTCAACCTGCAGGAAGCAGCACCAGGGCAGGGCCCATGAAAGTCAAGGACAAGATCTACCCCAGAACCCACCCAACCCCACCCATGGGCTCCACAGCTGATTCCGGGCCAGACACAAGGAATTCTTCCATCAGTCAGAGGCCAGAAAAGTCCTTGAAATCTTTCTACCCTGTGGAAAAAGTTGAGACAACCCAGATATTGAAGAGAAATTGTTCCCTGRGAGGGTGGGCAGSCCCTGGCACAGGGTGCCCAGAGAAGCTGTGGCTGCCCCTGGATCCCTTTGAGTGCCCAAGGCCAGGCTGGACAYWGGGGCTGGRAGCAGCCTGGGACAGTGGGAGGTGTCCCTGCCATGGCAGGGGTGGAATGGGATGAGTTTTAATGTCCCTTCCAATCCAAACAGTTCCACAATTCCTTGATCTGACCTACCTGGTCAATCCAGGGCCCCAGGTTGGGTGAGCACTCGTACAAGCACATGTCCTGGATGAAGTGGCGCTTGCACTTGGGTGGCATCACCCCGCAGTGGTTCCAGTTGAAGTTGTAGAGGTTGGATTGGTCCTTGTGGGCTTCCAGGCTGGTGTTGGCTGTGCAGCAGGCCTTGTCCTTCCAGGGGGAGCACTGTGACAGAGCAAGGGCCAGGCTGGGCYGGGCTGGGCCAGTGCAGGAGCCTCAGAGCCAGCTCTTGGTCACTCTGGGCTCACAGCTGGGCACTGCAGCAAGGCACAGCTGGAGGACAAGCAGGAGATCATCTCCTCCTCAGCAATTAGTGCCAGCCTGAGGAACAGAAACAACCCCCTTTTCCTCCACCAAGGGCTGGGGCACAGCAAGGAGAATCTGCAGCACCCAGAGGGAGAAGGTGAGAGCCTTTCTTCACCATCCTCTCCCTTGCTGTGCTCCGGGGGTCCTGAGCTTCAGGAGGGGGACACGGAGCTGGCAAATCCTCACAGCGCTGCACCACAGCGCTGGCCACTCGCTGAGAGAAGGCAGCACACAAACAGCTCTCACATCCAGCACAGGCTGGCTTCCTCAGGAAGGGGCAGCCAAACCCAAACCAGTCCATAATACGTGGGAGGCAAGTACAGGGCCCAGACAGTGCCACCCTGCCCACGGGCACCTCGTACCTGCTCATGCAGCTTGCCCTCGGGGCCAGGYTCGCTTTTGTGGTGCTTGGCATCGATGCAGATGTTCATCAGGGAGTCCTTGGCTGGCACCACGGCATCGGCAGCCAGCAGCATCAGCAGCACCAGTGCCACTGCTATGGCCACAGCCAGTCTGGGGAGAGGAGCTGGGCTGAGGGGATGGCACGGGATGGGGGATGGCACAGGAGAGGGGATGGCACAGGATGGGGGACAGAGTGTGCAAAGGGGACAGGACAGGATGGGGGACAGAGTGCACAGAGAGGGGACAGCAAAGGATGCGGGATGGCAAAAGATGGGGGACAGAGCTGTGCCGAGAGGGGAAAGCGCAGGAGAGGGGACAGAGCTGTGCCGAGAGGGGATAGAGCTGTGCAGAAAAGGGACAGCACAGGAGAGGGGACAGAGCAGGAGAGGGGACAGAGCAGGAGAGGGGACAGAGCCGGATGGGGAGGGGACAGAGCTGGACGGGCAGGGTTTGCCACAGGCAGCAGCGAGGGAGGTGCTGCGCAGGCTGGGTACTCTGAGGACCTGGCAGCAGCTCACAGCACCAAGGACACAAGTGCAGCCCCCCCGAGCCAGGCTGCAAGGTCACTGCCACGTTATCAAGAGGACAACACCACGYTGGGGACAAACAGCCCTGGCAGAGCTCAGACTGGCCAACAGCTCATCATCCCTGAGGGAACGGGGGATACTGTGTGACACTCACCCAGTTTGGAACCGATTTGGGGTCCTTGTGCCACCCCACTGTTCAGAAAGAAGCTTCCAGCTCCCAAACCTTCTGCACCAAGACCTGRGTGGTCCAGGGAGCTCTCTGGTGAGTGTTCAGGGGGGCAGGGAGTGCACYAAAACACCAACACCTTGYGTGGACCATGAGCTGCAGGAGACCYGTGTTGTCTTCGGGAGTATGTTAAGACAGGAAAACATTTTCTTTATCTACATCTGAGACTTTGAAAGCCTCAGCTGAGGTGTCCAGCAGAGACCTGAATCATCATGGAGTCACAGAAGGGTTTAGGTTGGAAGGAATCTCAATCTCTCCCATCTCATTCCACCCCCTGAACTGGGCAGGGACACCTTCCACCAGACCAAATTGCTCCAAGCCCCCTCCAGCCTGGTCTGCTTTGAGCAATAAAAAACATTTCACGCTTCTGTGGCTTGCTGTCCTCTGCCTGCCTAGAGGCTGGCACAAATTTTATTGTCATTTTCTAAAGCCTCTCCCCCCAAAAAACCCAAACCAACCAACCAGCAACAAGACTTAATCAAGAAAATTCCTTCTCGCTCGTTGTTGACGCAGCACAAACCAGACACCTTTTACGAATAATTTTGCAAAGCATTTACAGCATTAAAATATCCCAAAACATGCCAGAAAAAGCAGCTAAAACCTGAGGAGGAGGCAGACACAGAAATCTGAGAACTAGGAAGTAACTAACTTGCTTTATAAGTACATTTATGCCCCCAAGTCACCTGTCAGCCTTACCAGCCCTGAAAGTCCTGAAACCTTCTACACCTCCTTACAAACACAGCTCAGCATTAAAGGGCAGCTTTAATGGGAAAGCTCTAGCACAGGTGCTGGCATTGGGGAGGAACTTCCCCCTGTGTTAGCGAGCTTTGACCCGTGCCACTGTTCGGCACCACAGGGCCAATGTTTTGGTGGCAGCCAGCTCTCCAGCCTCTCTCACAAGCAGCAYCTCTTCCCTGGGAAACAATCCCGTGTTTCTTTCCAAAAGCAGGTGTCTTATCAGCCTTGGCCCTTGATAATAAGCTGTATTTCCCCTGCTCGCCCTGCACCAGGCAGTGTGGATTTGTACCATTGCATGAGGCAGAATAACCCAGGAGAGACAGGGCTCTGGGTATGGAATAAATTATGGAATAAATACAAAAGGCAGCAAATGCCACGCAGGCTGCTGCCTCAGAAGGGAGAGTTACAACAACTCCCACCACAAACCAGGAATGCAGCTGCTGAGGGAAAGCAATGCAGCTCCTTTTAACACCTGAGCACATCCATTGGTGCTAAAAGCTTCCCAAAGCCCGTGGAAAGCCCTTGGCCTCAGCATGGGGGGCAGAGTCTTGCTCCCAGAGCAGGTTTTGGGACTGATCTGCTCTTCTCTTCACTCACTCACTGATGTTTCAGTGATGRACCACTTGCATAAGGAGCAAATCTTTCTAAATTTCGTATGTGAGCACTTCAGGCTCCGGCACACCCTGCTTTGGTGATCACAGARTCCCTGAGGCTGGAGGAGACCTCCCCACCTTGTCCCCAGCCCAGAGCACTCAGTGCCACCTCCAGCCCTTCCTGGGACACCTCCAGGGAYGGGGACTCCAAAGCTCCCTGGGCAGCCCCTGCCAAGGCCTGAGCACCCTTTCCATGGGCAAATTCCTCCTG